CCGCCACCGCCACAACCACCGCCACAACCACCGCCACACGCCACCGCCACCTGCCACCCGCCACTCGCCACTCGCCACCCGCCACCACCCCTGCCGCCGCTGCCGCCACCTCATCATAATCACCATCCTCATCATCATCATCATCATCATCATGATCATGGTTGTCGTCGTCCTCCTCCTCCTACTCATCATCATCATTCTCCTTTCTAATGCAAGTTGCCTGCGAAGTCCATTTCCATCCATGTTGCATGACACAGCTATGGAGAAGACTTGAGCATTTTTGGTACTGGTGACGGCATGTCCGCGTCATGCCATGTTGTAGCCAGCTTCGACGAAGGACTCCTTGATAACCTGGAGAAACTTAGTGGTGTCTTTGAAGCAACCCTTCGGAATGAGGAGCTGGTTGAAGCACGTGTGCGCTTCAAGGTGCGCACAGACTGGCATTGCTGTCAGCTGCCCAAATTGGGCTGGATTTGTCTCCCAGCCTTTTGGAGGGTCGCTGAAGGAACCGGTGAAGAAGTGTAGGAACTGGTTTACCGGCCGATGGATGATAGGCATTGTCTCATCCACATGCTCCGCGCCGAGCTGATCCAATGCGTCCTTCAGCACTTGTTTGTCTTCAGTAGTCCAGTTTCCTGTGTACTTGGCAAAGCTCAGCAGCCCTTCCATGTCAACCTGGGAATGTCCTTCTACCATCCGCTTCAAGCTTGCGCCATCGGGAATGTGATCCCAAAATTCTTGGGAGTGTATGTGCTCGCGAAAGCCTTCCACAATCTTGTCAACCGGTTTTTCAAAGCCGTGGTGCCACCTGTGTTGGCACTTCAACTCAGTGTACTCCCGGGCTCTGCTCGATGGTACCAAGTCTGTTGGCTGAACTCCGTCTGGGGCCACTTCCCCCCACTCCACGTAGAGATGCTCCCAAGTGGCCATGTCGCGGTACAAGGGCTCATAGCAGCTTGCCTGTGTGTAGCGTTTGGACACAGGATCTTTGACCCCATCACATTTCTGCCAGCCATAGGTCTCCAAGACCCCGCTTCTACGACCAAGAATGCTCGCAAGGTTCTCGCAAGCCTCGATGGTGTCATTGGAGCTGTAGTGCGGAATGTGTTGAGGCTGCACCGCATGGCCCTTCAAGCTGCTCTCGTAGATCAAGGGGTGGAGACTCACAGGACAGGCTGTCAGGGTGCTGATCACATAGGCTCGCGCTAGAAACTGACCAAGGAAAGAATACAAGACCTCAATCTCTGTTGATGTTGATGCGCTGGCATTGATCTCTCCGATGGGCGGGACCGCGTAGCCAGACGGCAGCTGCTGGAGCAAATAGTTCGTCTGGTTCACGACGTCCAAGCAGCGCAGGCCATGCCTGATGCACTCGTACCCGTCATTCTCGACATCCTTGGGTGCCAACGCAGAAAGGAGGACCCCTTGAAGCAGTTCTCGGCGCAAACCCCCGGCGTCCATCCCCGGCTGCTCTTTGCCCTGAACTTTGAACACAACGTGGAACTCTGGCGACTTGCCATCAAAGCCGGGGTCGTCCCAGTCCATCACCCAAGGTGCAGGACTCCAACCACTTTGCGTGGCTAGCCACATGAACTGCATGAAGTCTGACCAGCTATCACCCCTCTGCACTGTGAACTTGAAATTCCTGGATGCCCTCTTGGCGGTACCAAACGCCCGCTGGGCAAAACTGCGCACACCGAGCTCAAGAGAGGGCAAGTTTTTGGCCTCGCGTTGTCGGTTCTCTTCCCGAATGGCATCTAGGGGCTGCTGCCACTGCCTTGACTTCCAAGCAAGGTCCATTTCCTGGAACAAGGCCTGCGACCCCCGCTTGCAAAGGTCGTCTCCCATCCAATAATAAACATCGCGGTATGCCTTTGTCGGCGAGTCCAGATGCTTTGAAGCTGCCACGAGCTCCACAGGGCGGCGCACATGTCGATGGCACGCCTCATCCCCTCGCAGATACCAAGGAGGCGTGCTGCCATCGTGGGCAAAGTCTATCAAGTCCCAAGGTGTCTTTGGGGGTGCGGTCACGCTCCAGGAAGTGCTCCGAGTTCTCCCATCCTCGTCGGCTTTCACCAGGCAGCCGGCAAAGGAGGGCCAGCAGGCCGAGCCATAGAACTCTGGATGATCTGAGTTTCACAAACATTGCAAGTCTAATAGAAAGCAGGTTTGAGCAACTGTAGAGGCGACTAGGCTGCCTTGCAATCTACACTCAAGCTGCACAGAATGTGGCCTCCGCGAACAGCACTAGGAGGGGCCGGGAGTCGTTCTTCTCAATGCTGCTTGCCACCTCCTGGACGAGGTTCAGGATTAAGGACAAGAATGAAGCCCATTTCAACCATGCCCGCAGCAACTGGTAGAAGCGCTAGATTGTAGATTTGGCCTCAAACGCACAGCTGGAACCCTGTCTGGCCTTTGGTTAGCTGGGAATGAAGGTAAGGAACCCTAAACTCCAAACCCCAAACCCTACATACATATATATATATATATATGGATAGTGATATATAGTAGCTTCCATTTTATTTTCCATTCTTCCGAGCTAACCAGAAGCCAGCTTTGCGCGTAGGACACACAACCCACATCTCTACGCTGTCAACTCCAGATTCACACTCCGAAGCTCCGAACACTCTCAGGTTGGTGAAAGTCTTGGTTTAGGGTTTAGGGTTCAGGGTTTAGGATTTATGGTTTAGAGAATTGAAACAGATATGGCTGTAGTTTCTCATGATCGTTACAAATTATGGAGAGGTCCGCATCCATGACGACCCCTAGAGTACTCCATCTCAATCCCGCAGTAGTCCTCACTACCGGCCGCTAGCTTACAGCACCTTGGAAGAGATGGTCCCTGTATGATCCCCTTCTGGGGGACCCCATAGTTCACCGTGTATCCCTAAGGTACCAAATGCACGAGTTTACAGACAGTCCATCATAAGGAGCTCCTACAGTTATGACTCCCAAACCCTGGCTTCTAAACCCCGTAGTCCCCCTTGAGTAGATAGAATATGGGGTATATTGGATTTTCTCATGATTTTGGATGATAACGGTCAATTCCACTATCTGCTCAAGGGGAACTAGAAGCCCCGAGCTGTCCTGGAGCTCACTGCGTCGGATGTTCGCAAGACAGAGACCGCTGGAGACGTAGCCGCACCTGCGCGAAGTTGGAGGGACTGGCCTTTGGTTAGCTAGGAATGAAGGCATGGATCCTTAGAGCAGTCCGCGTACAACTTATCACCCACTATAGCAGTTTCCATGTTCTTGTCCATTCCTTCTGAACCCTAAACTCTAAACCCCAAACCCTATATATAGTAGCTTCCATTTTCTTTTCCATTCCTTCAGTGTCAGTCCCAGCTAGGGGAAAGCTCCGCTCGACAGCTTAAGTGAGCTTCCACGAAACAAGGGGACGTGTAGGGACTCGGGTGCCCCTTGGAGTAAATACACAATACGTATACCTATACATATATATATATATATGTATACATGTAAGCTGTAGTCTTAACTCCTTGAGGGGGTTTTATAGGGGATTATGTAGGGGACTACTATAGGGGTTACTAAGGGGAAACTACGAGTTTAGACTTGGCTCATATAGATATATATATAGAGAGAGAGAGAGAGAGAGAGATATATATATATATACTGGGTCGCAGGCGGGGGGGCTAGATGCAACTGCAGCCTACTTATTGCAATGTTGTAGCTAGCTGTGTTCTTGTAGGGTTTCAAGCCGCGGTCGCTTAATGCCGATGAGCTACCTTAATCATGGTCAAAGTAAAAGTAAAAGCGTGCCATACCAACAGACGCATAGCCCAACTGATCTCCCAACATGGCCTGTGTTGCGAACTCTTTTAACTACCTACGAAGGTCATGGCCAACGATGGCCCAAAGATGAAGCTGCTCAGTACGTTCGGTGTTCTCGGAAGGCACGTTCTCCACATGAGCTACACTCCAAATTTCCCCAGATAATTCATGGACAAGGGTTCCTTATTAGGGACTATGCTAGGAACTATACTAAGCTATAAGAGGAACTCGTAAATCTACTGTTTAGGGTCCCTTCATAGGGCTAATGTTGACAATGGCTTATACGAATGACGCCTAATGACTTGCTGCTTTGCGGCGTTACAGCAACAGCTACTGTAAACGTGGCGCCAAATCTCAGAACAGGGACCCTCCTCATAGTGCTCACAGAACCAGAAGAGCACGCCTTGTCTCCTTCCGCTGCTTGCTGCAGCACTGCGTGTGCTGTACTTAAACAATCTAAGCAGTGAATGGACAGGCTTGGCACGAAAATCTCCTGTGCCTTTCATGTGAAGTTTTGAAGTTCCCTGGTGGCTGGGGCCGGCACCAGGCCGCAACGCCCTCTAAGACACGCTGGTGAACCTCATCACACAAAACGCAATCAACAATCTTTGACCAACAATCTTTGCGACATCCCCGAGTATCCTGACATTCACAGCCGAGGATGGGGTAGCGGATCAGCCTTCCATAATGTCTACTTCGACCAGAACAGCCAGACTGCCAACCAGGGCAACGCTGTTCAGAACCTGAACTCGAGACGATGGAAATGGGAACCGACTCAAGCCAGGACGAGCACTGCATAAAGCGCGGTTCCTATGTTATGCCAAAGCCTAGTTTTCTCCCGCAACACTACACCAACAGCAGCAACAGCACGGCCGCTCCTACTTGGACAGTTAGGATGACAACAGTAGCTGCTATCACCACCACCACCGCCGCCGCCGCCGCTGCTGCCGCCGCCGCTTTGGTGTGGACTCCAATACATTCCTAAGTAGACAAGAGTTTAGCTGCAGGGAAAATGAGGTTGTTAAGGTAAATGTCAGGGAGATCTGGAAGCTCTGGACACCTGGACACGCTTGAATTTGCTAGCCTTGGTCTTTAGACCTTCCACATTGATTGACGAGTGAGAGGCCTTAGGATACAGGATTCGAGCTTCAGGCTTGTAAGGGGTTACCTGAACAACTTCCTTGCCAAGTCCTCCTTTGCCGAGCAGCGATGATCAGCGCATTCGACAGTTCATCGCCTGTCCGTCCCGACTCTCAGACGCTGACTAGTGTGACATGCAAACTACACACAAACGTACAAACGCTGCCTCACTAGTGACTGCTAACATGAAGGCAGCATTTCTGGTAAGGAATCTGTTATTCGAGGTCTCAGGTGCTCTAGGTATTGCTCGAAGTGGCAGATTCCCAATCCTTAGGACTCTGTGCCGACGGCTTCTGGCAGGAAAGGCCAGAGAAAAAAGAAGTGTTCTGCTTTATACAAAAGCTGCAAAAAATTGCAAAGAAAATTCCACGTGGCAATTCGCTGCAGTAGCAACCAGTCAAGGTTGCATCTGCGACTCAAAAGTACCATACTCACTACTTAGTTGCTGGGTCCTCCTGGACAGATGAGCACGCCGTGCCTCCGGCCGTGACGTAGTCTGGCACGTCCTGGCCAAAACAGCACTGAAATTACCTTTATCTAATGCTGATGTAGAACTCACCACGCTGCTTGATCCCTTTGTTTGAAAGCCACATGGCTTAGGCAGGTCTGCATCCAGGAAAGCCCTGGTCCTCAAAGTCGCTGATCTCGCTGGTGTCTTCGTCGCTATCCTCTTCGCGCGCCCTCCACGGCACTGACGCTAACAGAGCATGGCAAGTTTCTTCACAAGGCACAAAGGATAAGTGCGGAAGGAGGGAAGCATTGGTGTAGCGGTGGTCTTGCAAACGCACCACCTGGCCTCTTCTGAGTCATCTTGGCTCGCGATCTCAGGGCACGCAAGGCCGAGACTTCTGCCTTCACATCTGATTCAAGAAGCAAGGATAACTTCAGAAACCCGTGCAAACCTCGAAACTCAGACTTTGGCATCACAAAACATACATGTCTGAATCCTACACGCGGTTGATAGGAAAGGGAGCACCAAGATCATTAGCGCATTCAGTCCATGTTGCTCTTCTGTCTATGAAGGCAACGATGGCCAGGAAGCATTCCCAGGAAATCCATCGCTGACTTGACGAGGTCTCAGAAGTGAATGCCACGACTTATAAGTAAGTGAATTTAGGGGCCTACTTACCTGGAAGTGGGTTTTGGGTCGTACTAGCATGTAAATGTAGAGGCTAGCGCTTCAGGATTACAAGCGAAAATGCTGATAACTAGTCAGGCTTCTGCATCCCTAGAAGCTCCTCTATTCTCCGGCTTTCCATTTAATGTTCCATTATCTTTTCCATGTGCTTCCCCGTTATGAAAGAAAAAACCCTAAATAATCCTTATGAAATACTTATATAATCCATATGTAATCCCTATAAGGCTCTACATAACCCTATACAACCCTATGAAACCCCATGTAATCCCAACATAACCCTATATCACCCTACATACTCAGAACTGTAAACCCTAAACCCGAAACCCTGAGCCTGGATCTGCTTTTCCAGGATTCTCTGCTGGACCTTTGGGAGGTGGAACGGCTTGGAACCCAAGGAACCCTTTTAGGGGTGTAGGGTTTAGGGTTTAGGGTTTGGGGTTTGGGGTTTAGGACTTAGGGTATAATTTGGGGTATAGGGTTTAGATGGGGATCAATAGGGATATAGAGGGATGCCTAGGGTGTAGTAGGGTTAGTCCTCGGAATTTGTTGGGGCATGTCAGAGGGTCCTGCTGCACGTGAGCTGCTTGGCAGATGAATATCATCATGCCGCATTGCAAAGCCAGGTCAGATACAGTTCAGATTACAACGCCCTGACAGGGTTTACGGTACCAATAATGGATAATCAAATGGAAAACTGAAAAAACGTGGAAACTATGTTTGTACCGGGTTTTTCGGCAATCCCTTGCCAGCCGCACCATGACAAGTGTTCCTGTTGCTACTGCAGCTGCCGCACACCTCTTCTCGCTATGATGGCATCTGCACTCAGGACTATGCGACAACGACTGCCAGTACCTGCTAGTACTCCTACTTCTTCTTGGCTTGCTGTTATTACCAGGCGCCCGGCTCCCATGTGACACCGCAAGCGCCAAGCAGCCTGCCATAGAGAGCGACAGCGAGTATCAAACGTATGCAAGCTTGTGGGTCCTCTTTTGGGTGATACGACGGCTTCATAATGTAGACCCATGATTACTACACCCCCTCCTCTTAAGGGCCTTAATATTA